CATTTTTATCGTCCTTTCAGCTATTTGCTATTCACAACAATTATATTGTTATGAAGCTAATCTCATTGATACTCCTCTGCAATGGTATGGGAAAACAGTCGTATGTCGTTATCTCACTGATTTATCTCTTGCTTTAGTTACAGTTTGCATTCCTGTAATTCTCATGATATTGTTTAGTTTACTAATTATTTCAAACATACGACAATCTCAGCATCGTGTGCAAATATTACAATCGACTATTATCAGATCTATTGCCAGTATACCACCTCATTCAAATACTGGAAATTTATTGGGAAGGTTCAAGAAAACAGAACATAGTATTCTTCGAATGCTTTTATCTCAAGTTATTCTTAATATCATTTTTACTTTTCCCTTATGTCTAGACAAATTTTATTCATCAATATTGGAACATAATAAATCTCCAGTTCAATTGGCGACCAATGCCTTCGTGTACGATTTAGCCATCTTGATTTACGACATATCCAACGGCATAACTTTCTATATTTATATATTGTTTGGTGGTAGTATTTTTCGAAAAGTATTGTATGAATTTCTTGTTTCAATAAAAGCGAAATTTACATGCCATTAGAATTGTTGCTTTTTTCATTATTTCTTTTATTTTTGAGTTGCAAAATCAATGGATACAAGTTTGAATTCATAAAAACCCATTGATATCAGTAACCAATCACTCGCAATCAATACTTGAATTGTCTCTCTCTCTTTCTCTCTATTGCATGAGGTGAATATTTTTGATGCTCATAAAGTCTGTAGATATTGGTTGAATCTGTTACTTTCATCTTGAGGGCGTGGGGTGTGGGGGTGGGTAACAGTAAGGATATGCTTATGTAACACTCACACCCACACCCTCACTTGGGAACGTTTCATCATCAGTGAAGAAATTGCTACGCAAAATTGTTTATGTGACAGGTATATGAATGAGTATTTGACGTCTATCCCTTTTGGGAACTTGCGAAGATTTCTTTCTCATTTTCTTGTATTTAATTTGGATATATCCAATTCAGAGCAAGGCATGTAAGTAACATGCTGTGTTTATTTACTTTCATTCGCAACTCACAACACGGCAACTCCTTTGAAAATACACAGACACGCAATTAACAGTCACAGTGAGCGAAACAAAACGCGTGAAGCCATTTGCATTCTTCGAAAGAGACTGTAAAAGAAGAATGGAGTTGAACTCATTTCAAACCTTGGTGGAATAGAATTATGATGGAGTACATTGAGTGAAAAAAATGTGATTGTCTTTCTCATTGTATATTTACGACACTTAAGTGAAAGACTTAATAATGCGAAGGATGAATAATCGAAGCATGCAGTTTTCGGGTGGGGTGTGGGTGTAGGTGTGGTATAGTTATAGATTGGTAGTTGTTAGGAAACCTTCAAACCTTCACCTGCATTCACACCCACACCCACACCCCACCCACGCTCGCTCAATCCTTTAATGATAGCCGAATGTTTTCTTTTCAAGAGTATGTGATTTTTATTATTTATTTAAAATACGATAAAAACGAAGAAAAAAACATCGTACTATCGCTTTCTGAACTTCAAGGCAAAAGTTTCATTGCATCAAAAATAATCGCGCCAACATGCGATCTGGCAGGAACATGAGATCTATGTCGGCATTCGAGTATTTTTCGGACTAAGGACAATGGATTCGATTTGAAACCGCACTGATCCATTTGCAAAAAAGGACGATGTTCTGATTTTTCGATAAATCCATCGTTATATATGTGCTGATAGGCACTATCATAGATATACATATGCATGCATATACTTGTAATGTGTGTATGTTTATATGCTGATCAAAGATGAGTTCATCCATTTGGATGTCATCCTTAGCGTACATTGCGCTAGTGTTATGTAATTAGTGTGATTGACTAATTCTTGTCCTTGTTCTGTTCAATAACATCTGTCCTGTTTCTTTTGGTGTAACTTTCATCGTTCTCTCTCTCTCTTTGTATATATATATATCTTTTCTGCTGTTCTGTTTTCTTCTCTCGTATAACCGAGTGATCTAATGTATCACTATATAAAGGGAGGAAAAAAGAAAGAACGGGGACAGACTAGAGGATAGAATAGTGTAGACAACATCGATGATATACTGAATATATCGGTAGCACTAATCTTCCAGTTTGTCCATTGTGATCACAATTAGATTTAATGAATAAAAGAAATGCTGCAGTCGTAACATCATAATTCCATCCGCCAATTATCATTTTTCGTTACAATATATCCGGCCTTTCTCGAAAGCTTCCTGCTCACCCTTTGTTCGAGGCTTCGGGCAGATACTTAAGAAATAGCAATAGGCTTGTTGCTCTTCGACACCGTCGAAGTAGAGTGCCATTGAGAAAAAATAATTGCGCCAAGCAGTCTTTTGGAATCGAGAAGAGCGATGAAGGAATAGACAGAGTTGGTGTATTGACTAAGATCGATTGATTCCGTTTCATACGTGGTAAAAGCAAGCGTAGAGTTGTCGTAGACGGTTGAGTAACTTGGAGCTTCTGATACGAGTGCTGAAGTGGGCCGATCAACCAATTCGCTTCGTAGGGACTGAGAAAAATAACATGTTCGTTACGATAGATGATCACCCATCGTGGAGATCGCAAAAATGTGTCTAACGATTTTCCTTGTGTTTGAATGACACGTTAAAATTCCTTTGAAATCCACAATTTTTTTTCTCCAATAGGACGGTTGACACTGTGAAAAGAAGGTGGTGCCAAGAAAGGTTTGAGGAAGTAGAAAAAATACTGAAGGAAGTTGCGTCAAGTTCATCATAGGACCTTGTGAATCACTTAATCTTTTTATCTCTTCATGTAAGATAGGTTCATGTGGAATGGGTGGTGTTGGTCGTTCCTGTTGTCGTTCTTCTTCCAATTCTTGCTCGATTTCTCGTTCCAATTCTCGTTCTTGTTCTTCATGCAATGAATAGGCAAGAAGTATATTCGATCCACCATACAAGTTCAATCAATTTAGGACAGCAGCATTGATTTCAGACGATAATTGTGTACGGAAATGATGACAATGAGAGCGATGAATTTCTGTTATCTTTTGCATTGATTTCGGCATTCCATACATCTGGTATAATTCCAAAACCTCTCGTTCGACACAATTTGAAGGCAACTGATTCATCATCAGCTCGGTAAACTGTTGCTGTTCATTGTTCCACTGAATATTTTCAAAACCAACGATTTTTCGTTGAAAACTGAGACTCTGCGTAGCCCAATGACGCAATTCGTCCCAAGTGGCATGGTGAGTGTTCTCATAGACCCAACGGAGGATATCGGTCAGCCTGATCTCTTCTTGTCCAGGTGGCTTCTTTTTCAGCATGAGAATTCATTGATTAACTTCATGGGAACTGCAAAAACTTAACGCATGGCCTTTGCTTAATTTTCTCATTCTCATACAAGTTTGAACAAATCGATCTGTGGTTAAGCCATTGCCTAATGTGACAGTAGCTCGAAATCCATTGGGAAACTTGAAATCTGTTTCGTGCGTGTGAACTTCATCCAAATAGAAAACACAACGTTCAAGTCGTTCGCTCGCTGGAGAAGTGGCGAAAAGATGATGTTGCTGCTGTCGATCACAGACAAAGCGAGTCGAATTGAAAATACACAGCGTAATCAATCTGGACTCAGCTCGACTTTTCTAGCCATTGGATCGCTATTTGACGATTGCTACCATTGACAAAAATTGCACCGACATCGAGAATGACTTGAATAAGTTGTCAATCATTGACGATTTTTTCTAAAATCTCTTCGATTTTGACACTGATCGGTAAAGATCGATAAAATTCGTTTTCTTGTCGAAGTAAATTATTGAGAACAACAGCATCGGTTTTCAGAAGTTTTGGCAAGTCGCGTTGACCAATGTAACTTGGTAGCAATAGTTGAGTGTCATTGGTACCACTGAAACCAGCGGTGATTTTTGCTCGACGATTTGATGATAAATCCCAAGTAGAAGAAATTAATTTCTGAGGAAACTGTTTCATTTCTTGAGGAAAGACGAAATGATTCAGAAAGTGATTGATCACTAAAATATTCTTTCGAAAAGTTGGAAAGAGATGAACCGTTCTCTATTGATCATCTTTTAAATTGATCCCTTCCCATCTTTTGATACGTGGATCTAGATGATCATCACCTTCGTAAGAAATCCATTCATGAAAGATTTATTCCGGATGTTTTTCACCATCACTCAAGCGTTTGAAACATTCTAGCATTTGTTCATTAGTCAAGCCATTGTAGTAGTAGAACGGTTGCGTTAAGACAATGGCAATATCCGGATGACCGAACTCGGTGTTGTTAGCTGCAACATCTTTGGCACGAAACGGTACTGTCATGCGACGATTGAACTTTGGATTAGGATTAACGCCACAATTAACGCGATAACGTTTGGCCAATGTCACAAACAACACTTCTGATGAAAGAAGACCACGGAGAATGAGAATTCGTTGCAAAGTATCCTGTGAGATTCGATTTTTGAGACCTTCGATCGATGCACTGGTTTGTAAGATTAACGATAAGAGACGTTGACGTTCTTCTTGACGATAGGACTGTTCACTAAGCCAATCATTTGCTATTTTTTCAGCCAGACTTAAAAACGGTTGACGTAACAACAACCGAAAGGATGGAAAATGACTCGATCGTGACGATTTTTCATAGGAAATGTCTTTTCTGTAGTTTCGCACCACATGTTCAGCGTTTTCCTTCACCAATTCTAAGATTGATTGAATTGTTTTCCAACGTTGTGCGCCAGCATCGACGGGTCACTGGCGGCCAACGGTATAAATCAGTTGATATTTAACATGAAGAATTTCATCAGATTCGTCCAAAACATCATGAGCAAATCGTTTTGAGTCACTGCTGAACGGTTAATATCAAGCGACCGACTTGCAATTCCTTTCGTCGGCATTTATCAATGGTCAGCAAATCAAAGGAGAGAACATATTCCGGTGCAGTTAAGATAGTATCTCTTCTGTTCAGTCCTTATTGAAGACGTTGAAACATTTGATCGATTTGTAATGCATTTAAATTCATATCACGACGGCAGACAAAGAGGGAAATTCGTCGATTGAGAAGACCACCTAATTTTGGTCTCAATGATTGATAATTCATGATTAGTAAGGATTTCAAAACAATGATACGAACTAAACTAGATGTCGATGAGCAGAGATTGAGTGCTAACATAGGTACGATGGCCGATGTTTTTCCTTCGCCCATGTTCATTTGCATGACGATGTTTTTCACTTGACTATCTTTACCATCCGATTGACTCGGATCGATCATATGACGCGCGACATCGACTTGAATTTCTCGAATGGTAATGTTCATTTCTAATTCTAAAATCAACCATGAATCATGTTCCGAGGGAATCCAATTCAAATGTGGAATGTTGGACACTTCTTTCTCGAAATCTTCCTGTCGTCCTTGATCAGCACGATGGATCGTTCGTTGAAGTTGCTGCTCAATAATCCAATTCACCAATAAGCCACCTAACAGGATACATTGTTCTGGTGTTAGGAATGCATCTGCGGATCGTTCAGCTTTTTGCCTCTTTACTGAATCGAATGATTTGTTATGTCTTTGTTCTTCTTCATTTAACCAGACTTGATGAAGAAGAGAAACAAGAATGGATGATGTCATTCGTAATGCCAAACCAGTGACAAACAGTAGTTCGTTGTCTGTCTTAATCAAACGAGTCAATTCTTTCCACATGTGAGCAGATTCTAGACGAGTTGAATGCAGACGTTGTTTGATTGATTCCATGGGTATGTAGTCTTGTTGAAATTCGTCCTCGAACTGAAACTTTTCTCAAATCTTCGTCAACTGTTGCTTGAAGAACTTGGCGATATCACTGAGAGGGTTTTCGTCGTTGTTGGCCGATGGGAAAATCTCCTCGGGAAACTGTTATTTTTCTCGAGGAATTCCAATCGATCGTCTCGGATGGATTAGATCATCGTGATAACGACAACAATACTTTCCATGAGCATTCAAAAGTAGTATTCGATCGATCGGTATGTTGGTTGATCTGAGTTGAATTCGATGATGTCGATCATTTAATTCACATGAAAATTGTTGTCGATCAATTCTGATTCTATTGATCAACACATAGGATTTGAACAAATCCATTTTCTTGTTCAATGCATTGCACAAAATCTCGAAGCTTTTGGTTCAATTGCCACGATTTGAATAAATCATTGATTTGATTCCTAATCTGATTTCCAGAATACACATCATTGGGTGTGGGTGGGTGTGGGCATGGGGGTGGGTGCGGGGTGTGGGTGTAGGTGTGCGATGTGGGGGATGGATAGAAATGAAGTGAGAATCCACACCCATACCACACACCCACACCCTCACGCCTACACCCCCACACCCACGCCTACATACCCACATACCCACATCCATCATTTTCAGGACAAATGAAAAGCAAACAGCACAGAAATAATCAATGCTATACATTGTCATTGTTTTTGTTTGCTTTCTCATTTTTTTTTTGTTTAGTTTTGTCATGCACAAATAACAGTGCACGTTGTTGCACAGCAACTTAACAAAATAAAAAAAACGAAGATAGTACTAATACTTATATAAGCATATGTAATTAAAATTCTCTTTCGCTTCCATTCAATGTATCAGATGTGCTCATAATCAAGTCAAGAGCGATTCCAAATTCTCACGAATTTCACTTTTCAATGAAATCAAAATAATTATGAATATAATTACTTGATAGTCTGTAATAGTAATATAAAAAATGATTATGACTGTAATCAAGTCGAACGAATTTAAAGATCGATTTTTATCGAAGATTCGTCTTATTTTTTGTCATTCAAAGATTTGCATCTACTAGGTATCCGAGTCTACACTGCCTTAGTGTATTTCTATCGCCTATGAAATTCAATTTGCTCGTTCACAATTATCCACAGAACTCTGTTGACTTTTTGTTACGTTCTTTCTTGTCTTTTCTCTCACAAGTGCTATAAAATTGTCTGATACCTTGCAAATGCTCTATGTTATAATATATATATATATAGCGCAGATGCCTTTTTCACTGAGCAAATCAAATTGAAGTTTATTTTGTTCACTTGTACATCCATCATTAACAGAATAGAAACCAAAATCATAATGTCGTCTCAAAATTTACAAGTAAGCATCTGGACAGAATTAGAAAGCATACCATCTGCCAATAAAAGAGAATCAAACACGAGGAATGTTGAGAAAACTGTTTGGACAGATGCCTTTATTCAAGATGCTCAAGAAGCCCAATCAAATATTGCAAACAATCGGTATCAAACATAAATAATCGAATCTATTTTCGTATACATCATATTTCGTTATATCTTTAGTTCTACATCACTAAGTCAAATATCCCAATTCTTTCAGTCGCTATCACCGTTGTTTGTTGGTCTCTTATTAGCTGCACTTGTAGGTGGCATCATAATGGCTATCGTGATTGCATTGTGGTCTACGGAATCACATAGTAAGTAGTAGATCTCTTTCTGAAAATTGTCTTCCATATTATATGAGATGATATGATTCAAACAACGTAAAATATTTAAAACCTCTATTTGCGATATGTACACTTTTCATATGAATATTGAAACAGGTTCGATAGAAAATATCGAAAGTAATTTTAGTGAATAAAGAATAAGAAAATGTCGAAAAGGAGAAGATGGAAAATTTCACAGATGATAAGGAATAAGTCAAAGAGGACTATAAGGTTCTAGAAATACAGAAAAGAAATCAAAGATAAACAAACTTCTCTTCAACTTTTTTTTCTTTTCTACTGAAATATTATCTTTTGTCTTCTTTTCAATATTTTTCCATTTTCTATTCATTAAAACTATTTTCAATGCTTTCTTCTCGACGTTTCCCACCAAATTACATTCAAACTGAGTGAAATCGGAAAGCTTCTCGATATGCCTATTGAGTAGATCTGATTCTCAACAAAGAACTTCAAACTAATAATTCCAAATTTGCTGTCAGATGAAGAGAATATCTTGAGAAAGCAAAATTTCATTGAAACAACTTGTATGACTTCTTATTTTCATTTCAGCCAACACAGTGTATTATTTTCGCGCTTTGTTTTTGAAAGCTACAAAGAAGATGAAAGTTCATTCTATTTCTATTTGCACTTTATTTTTAAAAGCAAATTAAGAGAAGCCTTTAATGAAATGATTGCCTTCTTTACTTCACTACATGATAGAATAGCTTGCATTTTATAGAAATACGCAAATACACCACTACATGGAATTATCGACAGTAATAATATCTAATAATATCAATGTATAACAAATATTTATAGTCCAATTATTTGTTGCATTTGAAGCTTTTCTTTCGAGATGCATACATCAGGTCATTTCATTTCGTACAGTAGAAGAATATGACTATTACGCTAATGTTGCAAAGAGTAATGTCTTTGTCATAAATTCGTTCATGAGACCAAAAAATGAATTCATTTACTCAAAAAAAGATCGTACACCGAGAAACTAGTTAGTTCTTTTCGTATCTCTTTCAGGCTTGTGGAATCGAAACATAATTGAATGAACATTGTTCAGATCCGCTTACATATAAGCACAAGCCCAAATAATTCCATGCTTTTCTGCTTTACTTAGATATGTTATTTTACTTTTGCTTCATAAAATAGATATATATGGCATCTCTACATTTAAAAAATTAGGATCAAGATATTCTCTTATGTATTAATATATAATACAGGTTAAATAGATAGTTAAGTGAATTCTTCTACCATAACTTGTTTCTTCATATTCATCGAGTCAATCATCAGAGGCGATAATATCACAAATAGTAATAAATTATGCATGAACTGTTTTGACACATACGTTTCTGTGAGTTTGATCATTGTTTTCCATAGGATCACATGTGGACTTGATGTTCGGAAAATGATTGCAACATGTCCTAGTGTGTATTACTGATATTTTTACATTCGTCAAATAGAAAATTCTTTCATTTACTTCCACTTTTCTTTGTTTTTTAGACACAAAAAAGATTCTTTTTCTTCAGTTTTTAAAAAACAAAGCTTTTTTTAAGGTTTTTTATCTTTATCTTTCAGTTATAGAGATTTTGCTTATGTTTATTCTTTAGTGTAAAGAACTATAAATGTAAAACGTAACACCACATGTTTTACTCTTTAGCCAACATTCTTTCAACAAAAGCAATTTAGTCAATGAGAGTAGAATGTTTCAAAAATATCGGGTGGGCCAGATTGAATAAGTATTTTTAATATTTATTATTCCTCAGCGATTTTTCGGCCGATCGATCTAATTTTTTTCCATTAAATTCACTATGTCATAGTTTACAAAATGAGATGTTTTAATTAATCTAAATAGTTAAAATCATTTTATTTTAAACGATACAATCGGTTAGTCCACTTTTCATAATTTTCAAGCACGACTTGCAGTCTAATTTTTTTCACAGCACGCTTCAGTTCACGAATCAAAGTTACTTTTGATTGTACATTGGTCCAGTTTATGTGGCCCACAAACTCATCACATATGCAGCAATCTAGGGGGTTTAAATCGGGACTGTTTTGGGGCCAATGGTCTTTATCGATGAACATTGGAAAATGGTCTTTGCACCATTGCTGGGTTAGAATATGGGTATGAGACGTAGCATTATCCTTTTGGAATATCCAATAATTTCGCAAACGTTTCATTCCCATATTGTAAAGTCACAGATAGAACGTCTTTGATGTATCGGTCATGATTCGTTGATTGTGTACCCAAAATTACTAACGGAGAAACACCTTTTGAACAAAATCCAATCAAACCATGAGTTTTTCTGAAAAATTTCGCTTTTGTTTCCTACCACCTGCTTTATCTGCTTCCTGACGATTAGCTGTCCATATACGATCGTTTCGGGAATTGTACACCCCATCAATGTCGAACATTTTTTCATTGGGAAACAATATTTGCATTGTTGTTTCCTTTTTGAAATAGGTTCTGATCCAATTCAAAAATCTTTTTCTTTTGACTTTATGTTCATCTTTAAGCAATGATACGACTCGTACTTTATATGCATGATATTGTAGATCATCTTTTAGTATTCGGCGAACACTAGTTCACGAAATACTAAGCTCAACGGTCAATATTCGAGAAGAAACTTTTTTCTTGTGTTTTAAGCGATTTTTGACTTTTCAATCATTTCTTTTGCACGAATAATACGTGCTGCATCTGGTGGAGTAGATAATTGAATAGCACCAATCTTCCCGATCATATTACATCATCTTCTCACTGTATCATAGCTAATAACACCATTTAAATCACGAAATATTTTCGTCTTTGTATCACCACGCTTATGTTTTGAAAGTACTACTTGTTGAAGGTCTTTACTTTTCATTATTGAAAACACTCTTATGATAAACGTAGTATTGGGGAAAATAGATCAGTTTGTAGAACCGCATGTGGACAATTGAACGAAAAAAAATCAACCCGATCGAATAAAGAATGATCGATTTATTAAAGAAATAAAATACACTCATTTAATCTGGCCCACCCGATATATTGCTTTTCTTAGTAATTTGGTGACTCAGATTTTTCTGATCTCTAGCTGTAAAAGACATACGATAAGATTTATTGCTTTTCTTCATGAATGATGTGGTCTGAAAGAGAATGCTATTTTAATTCACGAAACGTGTTAAAGAAACATGACTCTTAATTGATTCCTAAGATTGATTTTTTTAAATATTTTCAAAAAAGTCAGCTTTTATACTTTGTTAAACAGGATAAATGTAGACATACGCATTCTTTCGGTAAAATATTTAGCTATGCTTTGCTTATTTATCAATAAATTTACTCGAACATAGAACTATTGTCGTGATTTTACACATCTTTCAATATTTATTATATTCATATTTCTATTGCTTGCTCATTTTCTCTGAACCATTACTACTATGTTAGATTTTTGAATTAAAGTACCTTTTTGGAGAAGTATGAAAGCTTCGGTCACAAATGGAAGCCAATTTGATTCGATATCTTTTTCGTCTTTAGATTATCTTTCCCTTGAATAATTCGACTTTTGAGGATTTTGTTTCTTGCATAAACACTCATTACCGTTGATATCTACTCTAAAATGAAATAAATTAAAAACTTTACTGACAGCTACAACTACAACGACAACAACGACAACAGCTACAACAACGACAACAACAACTGCTACAACCACAACGACAACAACGACAACAACAACAACAACGACGACGACAACAACAACGACAACGACAACAACAACAACAACAACCACCACCACAACAACAACAACGACGACAACACCCACGACAAGTACAACAACAACGACGACATCATCAACAAGTACAACAACCACCTCAACTCAAGGACCCGGTACGTACTATTTTCATCCATCGAACTTCAGCTTGCTAAATAGGAAGCCTGGTTTTCATAAAGACTTTAAACCGAACAAGCTGATCCTCTGCCAGATCCTCTTCTGTGAATGAAACATGCATAGGATATGAAAACATGCATTTCGATGCATCGAGGTAGTTCAATATGAACCATCAATTGAGTTCATAGTTAAATATATGTTAAACAGAAACTCTTCTATCTTATATTCTTCAAAAATATTTAGATAAACGAAGAATTAATGCATTTTGAAGAATGTTATGGAATTTTCTGAGTGTGGGACGACTGCAAGAATATTTTATAAGTATAACACAATAGACATAGATTTCAATTTATTTGATTTCAATTAAAAAGAGCCGTTTCTAGCAGTGTCTAAAAGATGTTGGATTACTGTTTTGACAGATTTGTGTTGCAAACGCACCGAATATTTTACACAATGAATTCACAGCCTTGACATTTTCGAGACAGAATACTCTAATGGATGCTAGAGAGACAGGTATATGATGTAATGTATCTATCTGTGTTTCTTTTATATAGATACAATGTTATTTTTCATAACTGGAACGTATATTTTGTTTAGGATCCATAGATGCCTCTATTATTATTTATAACACTAATTGCATCTTTCCAACTGCAAAAAATTCTTTTTAAACGACAATACTGTTTTATTTCAATTATATGACGCAATTAATCTACAGCTATATCGAAATGTCAAATAATTAGATAACTTTTGTTTTACAGTAATAAAACTGAAACAAATATGGATGAAACATTCAAAAAATTTTAATTCACTTCCAAATCATGAGACAAATATATACTTTCATGTTTATATTTTATAGATTGAAAGTATAAACCTAGAGACTGAAATTCATCTATGCCTCTATCTATAACGCTTGATTCAAGTGGCAATTGTCATCTTACAAATGCTCTTTTTGATGGTATATGTGGTCATAGTGTTAGATTCCTTTTATTTCATTTATTTTCTTGTCTTGAACCTCTCTTACGTTTCACACAAAACAAACAATGTTAAGAATGATAAATAAAGTAAAGGAAACTTATAAGTAAGCAAAGACAAAGTGAACAACAATAATACGTATTTCTTTTATGCAGATAACAGAAGAAGGAAAGGAAAAATTGTCTAATTATATATCATATATATATATATGATAGATCCTAAAACATAGTTATGATATAAAGTATCATAACTTTTGCTACAGATGACCATTCTCATAATATAAAATGCATTAGGCATAGTAGTAGTAATCATCATAATGGTAAAACGTCACAATACTGGTACCCATGACCATGTTCATGGCAGAAAGTATCACTGTTTTGATACGAATGAAAATACCGATGATGTAAAGAACTAGATTAATGGTAAATATAATCATATTAATGCCACAATAACAATATCGATTATATTGTTAATTATCAATGTGAGTTTATTCGATGTATTTTTTGGATTCATTGAAGCATACTGTTTGTCTACTCATGGTATCTTGAAGGCTTATGGGTCTCGAGATGCTCTGGATGATTCAATGAAGTATCCTATTGACCACTAATGTAGCATGCATGAACGATTTTGCAAAGAATTGTCATATTTTTAGAATATTTCGTCTTTTCAACTTTGTTGTCGGTACTTTGGGTCTTGGTTATGATTTTATTGCTATTTTGCATAGACAGATGGCATAGATTACCTTTTTTAGTAGGCCATACGTCATTCTAGATTTAATTGAATCCAACAGTCGACTAGCATTGCTTGTAAGCATTATGCTTATATTTCAGTTTTCTTTCTGTATTATCTACGTATTGATCGCTGCTATGTTACATTTATCAGTATTTCTTCAAATTAGTTATTGTTTCATTCTTTTCTCCCTGGAAATCAGTTCGCTATAAATGGATTGAAGCATAGATCTATATTTTTACATTAATTTGATTTCATGTAGTACTGTTACTAATCGACTAGACATTTTCCCGCAGCTGATATGTCTGAATTTTAAAGAATTGAACAATCAAATCGAAAAAATTTTGTAAAAATAAACAGAATTTTCATCCTTACGAAAGAATATGAGAAGTGTAAAACTACTAAGTCCTAATGACGTCTTTAGAATACGTGCTACAATAAGATATAATACCACATATGTGCCACCTGTAATTTCATTGCACACATTTTTATTCGTCCAATGATTTTTTTTTGAAAATGAACTAGCTAAAACCAAACGAAATAGATATTAATACAATAGAGTGATCTATCAACCCTAAAAACTGTGACTCGATCATCTTTACTCGTAAACGCCACTGTAAAACCGTTACAAGTCCGCTTATCATAAATAGAGCATTACACTTGTTTATTTACAGGATGGATGGTTGGCGGATATATGAATTATGATCGATATTTTCATACAGCATCCGTGTTAGCAGATGGAACAGTACTAGTTGTCGGTGGCTATTCCAGCACTTATGCTTACCTAGCTACTGCTGAACTATATGATCCAGCAAAATGGACATGGACATTGACTGGAAGTATGAGTTACGCGCGATATACTCACACGGCATCTACGTTAAACAATGGATTCATACTAGTAGCCGGTGGATACTCTTCTACTTATGCTTCTTTAAGTACTGCTGAGTTATATAATCCATCAACAGGCACGTGGAGCGTCACCGGAAATATGAACTATGCTCGATATTATCACACAGCAGCTGTTTTAAACAATGGGAAAGTTGTAGTTGTTGGTGGATATTCTTCTACCTATGCTTCCTTAAGTGTGACTGAATTATATGATCCAACAACAGGAACGTGGACACTGACTGGAAATATGGTTTATTCGCGGCATGTTCCTGTTGTCGGATTATACAACTCAGCACCATATAAGCTTACTCCAGTATCTCCGCCTACACTTAATACTTTTCATTTGTCAATAGAGATGCTGTATGATAGTATGGAGCGTAATTCATACTTCCAGTTAGAGACCATGCTCCCGTTGAAGGATCATATAATTCAGCTGTACTTAAGTAACCGTAAGTTGAAGAATATCCGCCTGCGACTAGTACCTTTCCATTTGCTAGAGTGCATGCAGCATGAACATACCGCTTATCATAAATAGAGCATTACACTTGTTTATTTACAGGATGGATGGTTGGCGGATATATGAATTATGATCGATATTTTCATACAGC